AGCGGATAGCATAAAATCCCTTATCTCTTTCTATTTATTAACCGATAAAAAAAAATGCAGGCATCTGAATGAAAAGAATGTTCTGAGGACTAAAACGTACTGAAATCATGGTAGTTTTAGTAGCTGCAGTCCTCAAAATTGGGAAGCATAAAACAATTATATTTGAATCATTTTACATTTCACAAACAAAAAATATAAACAGGTATATTTATTTAGCACGTTTTTAATAAAAGGAATACCCAATTTCAGATCAATTAGAAATTGTTTCACAAATTAGGCTAATTCCTCATTCATACTTTCCTACATTTATGGAACAAGAAAATACATTTAAAAATTGTATTCCCCTGCACTCATTCTGATAAGTTTAAATGTAAAATCAACTCAAACCTCAGACAGAGGCTACTAGTTGTAAATTGCGCTTAGACTAACACAGCTGTTGGTGAAGAGAGCCTTTGGAAAACAGAAAGCTGGTTGTCACCAGAAATTGCCAGACAGTAGAGAAAGATAAAGGGGCAGGATTCACAGATGCCTTTAAGAAGCCCCTGGGCTGTAGTACAGGAGAAAGAGCCCCTGGTTCCAAGCTGGTTTCATCCTGAAACTAAGATGCATTTATTTTATACTAGCTGAGAGATGCTGTTTTCTTTCTAATAAAGGTGGATTTTAAACTCAATTAGGGAGATAGTAAAATCAATCTGAGAGAGAAAACAGGTGGAGTTTTGGCTGATAGTTTGGAGTATTAAACTATGGAATAAGCAGGAGTAGCAAGATATATATATAAAAATGCTCTCAGATCTATATTTTTCTAACTTACCGGGCAACAATTCCTTTTCTCTTTCTCAATCCTTAGAAATGAAAAAGGAAAATGAAAGTGAGAAATAAAATCACATAAATAAGCATTCAAGTTCAGTTTTCTTCATACTTTTGCAGAAAATCTAATTTATGTAGTATCTTTTTAGAGGTATCTTATAGTTTCTTTGTATGTTTTTAATGTTATAAGAAACTGGATGAGAAAGCATGCTTTTGTTAACAGTCTGTTAGGTTTGTGAAATAATTTTGATATTTAAAATCATTTGATATTTTGACATACAGGGTTTGTTAGTATAGTTGGAGCCTACAAATTCTTTAAATTCAGTATTCAAACTCAAGAAAGGAAGCCTATTTATTCTGTAGCACTATTTATATCACTCTTTCCTGACTAGCATCCTGTAAAAGTCCTGTATCACGAAACTCTGTCACAAAGCTCCTTTTTAATCAATCTCATTTTCTTCAGTGGTTAAGACAATATAAAAATAAGTCATTTTAATCAAAATCTGAAGTTTCATTTTGGAAAACTAGCCATGTAGCTACACTGCCACAAGGTGGGAGTAAAACGTTTGATTGGCTTAAGAATTGGGCTTTGCTTCTTTTTTCTTTCTTTCTTTCTTTTTTTCCCTCTACAGCTCTTACGTGAACAAAGACATAAAACAGGCTAACTTTGAATGAAATAACATTGGTTCTGTATTCCTTGTTGCTAATATGCATACCCTGAGAACTGGAATTCCTTCTCCCCAAAGTTTGCGTATCAAATATAAATATAGATGAAGAAAGTGGCTTAATAGCAATTTCTTTATTCCTCTCTTTTCTTTCTTTATTCCTTGCCAACATTAGCCCCGTTCAAACTATATTTTAAGACTATAAGAAAGCCATTTCACATAAGGCCTACTAAAAAGAACTCCCCAATTTTATGATGATAATGAATATTACTTATTCTCTATACTAATGCATATTTTGAAGATAACTGCCCTTCATAAATTTTTCCTATCATTTTATATCTGCATGGTAATGAAGGCAGCCATGTAAGTGGGAACAATGAATTAAACAGTCCAAGAAAAATGTATAATGATCTTGACCTTCTAAGGAACTGAAAGATTAAAATGAGTTTTTACATATTGCTTATACTAGAATAAACATAACACAGAGCCTCTATACACTACTCAATGTCTTTTGCTTGCTTTGTGTTTAAATAGATGTACTAGCTATGCTTTGTTTAATGTGTTACTATTAAATCCAAATTTGGCAACATATGTGTTTATGTTGGGGTGTAAGCATATGCAAACATACACATGCCCTTTGAGATAGAGTGTCTGACACTTAGGCTAGTAAGACAAGACATTTTAAGGCAGTCGAGACTCACCAAGGTGACAGCAACACTCCTAAGGGATCCTGAGTGTTGCTAAGTGGAAAGGACTGCCATCTCCCTTGAATGCAAAGACATAAAGAATAAGAAAAGGCATAAGTTGGCTTGCCCATTTCAATTCCTTTCCTTTTCCTACATAATAATAAAGAGGGGGCCAATTGATGGCATTCAAGTCATTGCTGCTTGCTGATGTTATGTTTTCTGGAAAGATTTCCCAAACAGGCCTTTTTATCTTACTGAGTTCTGAATCTCAATAGATAAAGGGCCACATCACTTACCTGACTTTTTCATTTTTTTCCCTAATGATAGCAACGGCAAGAATGGGCAGCGCCTGAGGCCATGGCATTGATCTTTGCTGTATGTATCATTAGAAGCTCAAATAAAAATAACACAATGGTCTTCAGCATAAACTTTGCTGCTTTTACAGTCTAGTGAATATTACATTTATAAATAAGTAAAGTTTTTTGTAACTGGGGTGGGTATTTTTTTTTTTTTTTTTTTTTTTTTTTTTTTTTAGAAAGAAAGAGAAAGAGAAAGGGAGAGAGAGAACAAGAGTCTTGCTCTATTGCCCAAGCTGGAATGCAATCTAAAAATAGGTATTAAAAACCTCTTTTATGCCGACAACTGTGCTTAACAGCAGAGACAGGAAGGAATATGGGAAGAAAATAACAAACAAACAGCCAACCAATATTTTATTTAAGTCTGTGAAATGCTATGCAAATGTTGAAGAGTGATTTATTTCCAATTATCTGGTCAAAATAGGTGTAATATGATACTGAGAAAAATGTATATTCTGTGGACCTGGGGTGAAGAAGTCTATAAATATTCACTGAGTTTACTTGTTCCAGGTCTGAGTTCAAATCATAGATGTCCCTGTTAATTTTCTATCTCATTGATCTGTCGAATATTAACAATGTGGTGTCAAAGTCTCCTGCTATTATTGTTCGGGAGTCTAAGTCTCTTTATAAGTCATTAAGGACTTGTCTTATGTATCTGAGTGTTCCTATATTGGGTGCATATATATTTATGATCATTGACTCCTGTTGTTGCATTGATCCTTTTACCATTATGTAATGTCCTTCTTTGTTTCTTTTAGTCTTTGTTACTATTAAAGTCTATTTTGTCAGAGA